TGCTGTCCATTTTTGTTATAATAAAAGGAGTTGATCATTTTAGGCACTTTCTTGTTTCATAATTAGTCATTGAGGCAATTTTAATGACAAGTACTCCACAGTAGATGTTATTGGTCTTTATAGTGAACCTGAAGGGGTTGCACACTTTACTCTGAAAAATCCTTATAGGAGTTTCAGTTCACCCATCTGTAACTATAGGCTGTCTTCCTGCTGGAGCCAGGAATTAAATTATTTTAATAGCTGATATTCTGTCCCAATACTTTTCTTTCTGATCCTGTCCTTGCCATGATGCTTTGCTCCCAGCTATTCAGAACTATATTTATGATACTGTTTAGTATTATACTGGTATGCCATATCTGTGGAATATTGAAAGACTTTAAAAAGTTGATGTGTTAAATCAAAATGTTTGGATTATGGATATGGCAAAGTAGGATTAAGTAGTAAATGTTGCTGGTTTATTTCTTCCTCTAATCCATCGATGGATTGGCAAGGTTTTTAGGCTTTTATGTGAATCTTCCACTACCACTACCAATCTGTCACCAATTTGGCACCTTTTACAAGCACTCAGTGTATTAACAGGGAGAAAAGGGATTTTGTAGTGGTGTTTCTGCAGTGTGCTCTCTGCCTTCATTCTGTTTATGTTTGTTTGAAAGTGGTTTTGCCGTATGACATTCTAATTTGCATCGCAAATGGAAATACATTCATTTTGTGGGGGAATTAAGACAAAAAAAGGTGTTCTTAATAGTATAGTCAGCCAAAGAGTATAACCATAGGGGTGAAGGGATTTTAGATTATCCCCTAGACTGGGGGAATGGCACAACAAATGAGGTGTCATTTTTTCCCTTGGAAAGTAAGAAAAAAATTGTTCTCTGAAGGCTCTGATAACCAAACTCTAATAATATCCCTTTTCCTAACCTCCATTTACTGTGTTCTGACTCAGATCTTTTCTTCATAGCATATGCTGCCTAATACAGGCAGATACCAGTGTCTCTGCAGGAGCTTAAACAGAGTGGTTATCTGGAGGGAGGGCGTGACAGGCTTGTGCTGAGACAATTAAAAGGGCAAGTTACCTTTTTATTTATAGATGTTAAAAAATAAGGGACTGATCCCTAGTATTCTAACACTGGTTTTAAAACTAAAATGTAATAATTAGCATTAAATTGTGTGCTTCCTTCTGATGGTCAAAATCCTCAGCAAAAGAGCATGTCTTCATAGGAAGGACAGTTCTATTTGAGTGTGAATTCTTTCACCATGCAGCGCTTGACTACTTACCTATTTGTTGATGGCAACAGGAGACTTCCTTCTTGAGTATTATCGAATGCTGCAGATTCTAAACCCCCCTTTTAAAAGACAGTTACTGTCTTTACAGCTGTGAAGATAACCATCAAAATTTGAAGTGAGCTTAAACCAATACAAGAATGTCTTCCTGAGTTTGCAGATGTGCATTTCCACTGCATTTGCTGTTGCTCAGAACTTTACAAAGAAGTAACAGAATGAAAACAACGAATTCTCTTACCAGTTGTTTTTATTTCCATTATCTGGAAGTCACGGGGAAAGCTATGAAACCAACTAGAAACCTGTCGGTTTCTTGCATCCAGCAGTCATTCTTTCATAAGAATGGAAAGCAGACAGAATGCAGAGTAGATTGAAGAATAATGAAGTGTCTCTGTTGTGGTAGCTAGAAAATATAGTAAAGCGTTAAGAGCAGAGATGCATCCATGTTGAGACATACAAAAGGCTGGGTTCAAGTAGCAGAGAACCAGCCTTTCTATTGCTGGATAGCTCTGGAATGACATAAAAACCAGAGGCAAAATGAGCATGTTCTCTTTCTTTCAGCATGCATAAGTGTGGGGGCTTTATACCTACCAATGAGAAGTTGGCCTGAAAAAGACTGCAAGCAGGATTCAGAGGTAGCTGCTTGAATTGAATTCAGTTGCTGGATGGGGATGTAGTCTAAGTAGCTGAGTGTGATCTGTGGTTAATGAAGTCTGTCTTTTTCTTAATCTATTCTGGCTAGTAAGTTTATTCATCTGCCTAACAGATATGAGGTAAAATCAAAAATATGAGGTGGATGTATCTAGTAAAATAAATACTTCCGCTGTTGGAAACAACTAACTGGGTGGTCTGCCTTATTTTAACCCACTCCTCAGGGAATAACATCCTTTCATTTTTCCCATCTTATTAGTTGAGGCAGGGGAGTGCTGAGGAAGAGGGGATGGACAGCAGACTCACTCCTACACTAGGGAAGTGATAATTTCCCTTATGCAGCATTTGTCAGGCCACAGGTGGAGTACTACATTCAGTTTTGGGTGCCACACTTCAAGAGGGATGTGGACAACCTCGAGAGGGTCCAGAGGAGGGCCACTCACATGGCTGAGGGCCTGCAGGTGAGACCCTATGAAGACAGACTGAGGGACCTAAATCTCTTCAGCCTCTGCAAGAGGAGCCTGAGAGGCGATCTTGTGGCTGTCTACAAACTCATCACAGGGGGTCAGCAGGGAATAGGGGACACTCTGTTTACCTGGGTGCCCCTCGGGGTTACCAGAAGTAATGGCCACAAACTGAAGAAGAATAGGTTTAGATCGGACATAAGAAAGAAATTCTTTACGGTGAGGGTTGCCAAAATATGGAATGGGCTCCCAAGGGAGGTGGTGCTTTCCCCTACCTTGGAGGTGTTCAAGAAAAGATTAGACAGGCATCTGGCTGGGGTTACTTAACCCCAGTTAGCCTCACCTCTATTTTTAGCAAGACCCTAGAAAAAATCGTAAAGGATCACATTTGCAGGCCCCAGCGCTCTTTCCTGCCTGGAGCAGGAGGTCGGACCAGATGATCGACCAGGTCCCTTCCGACCCTAAAAATCTATGAAATCTTTTGATTCCATGGCTGTCAATTTTGTGCATTAGATCTTAGTTTTAAATGTATTGCCTTTATTACATATAAGAAAAAGTTCTGAATATGAACCAAATGCAGCTAATGCTGAGCTACCTTCCCAACTCTGAAACAGTGGCTCAGAGATGGGTGAAATTCTTTATTCATCTTACTAAGTTGTTAAATCTAAAACATAACAGGTTTTAAATGTTGACGTTAACTGTTTCACCAAAACAGTTGGTGTTTGCTTATGGAGGAGTTTGTGTTTGCTTATCCTTCAGGAGCCGTTAAACACAATAATTTCCACATTTACTCAAATCTAAGACAAAGTTCCCCCCCAGTCAGCACTGGAGGGGGAGGGGGGAGCTCCTTGTCTTAGAGGGTGGGGAACAAGTAGCTGCTGCAGCTCTGCTGGTGCTGAACCCATGGCTTGACATATATGCAGTGTAATTACTGGGGGGTTGTCTTAAATTCATGGTTGACTTCGATTTGACTAAATATGGTAGAAATGTAGTTTCCTGCTTGGTGACTGGAAAGGTACCACAGCAGATGCCCCGTTTCTGATAGTTTTCTAAAGCATCTATACTAGCCCATGTTAGGATACTGGGCTAGGTAGATCCTTGGTCTAACTCACTACAGCAATTCTTAAATTCTTATCCATCATTACTGTATGCAGTGGTGGATATTGGAGCAAGTGCCAGCTATTTCCTGCAGATTGCTCTGAAATCACCTCTGGCCTTGCCCAGAAGGGGCATGTGCTGTCTCCTTTCTCTTGCTAAAATGCTCAACTGCCTCAAAAATGCAAAACTGTCCCCATCCTAGGTTGTCCATTCGCTCAGCTTGTCTACAACAACTACAGATGTACTTTGTCGGTACGATCATCCACCATTGCTCAAAACCCTAACTGCATTACGCCTTTTGAAGTCTTTGGGAGCCATGCAACTAAAAACCTGCATAACTGTTTGAAACTTGAATGTTATGTTCACGTTTTCCATTCTTGTCCTCCTGTAGTAACAAACAGGTAGTGTTTGGGTTCTTCCGTATGTCCACTTGCTTGGATACAAGATTGGTTTAAGGAGAAAGCTCAAGGTCTAGAATCTGAAATTCCTGTGTTCTCATCTCAGTTCTGCCATAGTTCACTCACTGGATTTGAACAAGTCATTTAATGTATCTTTGTAAGTTTGTCCTTCTGTAAAAATGAAGTACTTAAAACAATCATTTACTTGCCAGGGATGGTGTGAGGTTTAACTTATGTTTGTACAACATTCTGAAGATAGACATATAATGCTTAGCTCCTGTAGAGCATTCTTTATATAGAGATTTAAGAGTGCTTTATAAAGGAAGGGTAAGTATTGTTATCATTGTTTTAAATATGAGAAAATATGGGCAGAGATTAAGTGACCTATCAAGGTCATGTGGCAGGCTAGTGTCAGAGCTGGGAATAGGAATCTAATCTTTGGCTCCAGTGCCCAGTCTTCTGGATCGTAATGAAATTTATATTTGTTTCTTCTCCATGACAGATTTTATCAGTCTAGATTTGTTTTTATCAGTGCTTTCTTAATAATCCCTGAAGGTCATGTTGTGCAAGTATGTATTTTTTGTTAGCTCATATTTGGCAGCGCATACATCACCATGTGTGGTTTGATAGAGCATGTCCAAATAGCTGAGCAATTTCAATTTTAAATGAGAAGTTTATACTGGTATATTTGAAGAAATTAGGAGAAGGTTTCTAACTGTCAGACCAGTGAAGGTCTTCTGGAAGGAGGAGTAAGCACATGAACTGTTTAAGCTGTAGCTTGATCAGTTTGTATAAGGAGATATGTGATGTGGTTGCTTGCAATAGCAGGAGATGGGCTTCAGCAAAGCAGGAGGTTCCTTCTAGTCCTTTCTAATTGTGTAGTAGGACTATGTAGCCAGAAATACCTTGCCAAATTCATTATTATTACAGCCCTGGCTGTCTGGCTGGGCTCTGCTTGATTCAAGGAATTATAACAGTTGCTTTAAGGATTTCAGTTTCGATCTGTCCCAGCCAAACATCATACCTGCTTTTACATATAAGTCATTACTTCAAGTGGAAAGGCTAAATCACAGACTTTACAGTGTCTAAATAATATGTCCTTTGTTTTCTTTAGATAAATACCGAAAGCCAATCACATTTGACCATACCGGGTGCTGAGGTGGGAAATCGGACAAGTCAAAATTTGGAGAGCAGTCCTTTCATGTCAGAGCTCCTCAGTGATATACCCTTCACCCTGGCACCACATGTACTAGCAGTACAGAACACCTGTAATGAGCTTCCAGACCAGTTGGCTGCCTGCAACATCCATGACAATTTAGCAAGATTTTGGTATGATTTTACCCTTGAGAATTCTGTGCTTTGTGATTCGTAATGTCTTAATCTCTATCTCCCTTAGAATTTGCACCTTGTCTACTTGAAGATGCATACACAAATATCCGAAGTTCTTAAATATTTGTAGTTTGCCATTTGCCTAACACGTGTATAAAATGTAAAAATTATCCTGTACCGTTCTGTATTCCTTAATGTAATCTTTTATTGCACTTTAAACTTATGTATTAAATTTGTTCTCAGAATAATCAAGCAGATCTATTAGAGTTTTGTTTAATCCTGAGTGAGATATCATCTGTTGATAATATCAGTTCTTGACTTTCAACAGGTAGACTGCAAATGTGCACCACATCATTATTTCTACCTGTGAAGTTCATGAACTTCCACAGTTAACATTTTACTGATACCAAAAATTCAAAGCCTATTATACATGTTTCTTTTATATTATCCATGATTTTCCAGGGATAGAAATTAAAATTTACTGTGAATAAAGTACTGCTGTTTTGCTAAGAACAGGCAGTCAAATCTTCAGTCTCAAAAGCAACTTTTTGAACTTCTACAGAATGCTTACTGGCTTCCATCTTTAACATGCTTGAGTAGACTCTGCCATATGCAGTATAAAACTAAAACTAGTCAGCCGGTCTCTTTCATTAGACATTGCTGTCCATTTTATTCTGTCACTTTTGCATCTCTTTCACTGTCTTTCTCAAACATTCTGTCTTTGACTGCTCTTTAGTTGCACTGTTTTCACTGCCACATATGTTCTTGGTTTATGCATAGATCAGTTTTTCCATTTTAACTTTGCCCCCTAAAGAAAGAAATCTCAGGATGTGTACTTTTAATGGTCACGCCCTTCTTTTTTTTAATTTGTGGCCAGAGATATAGATGGCCATGCTTAACTACTGGAAAATATTAAAGTGTTTCTTCTTCAACTAAATTAAATGGCAAAATACCTAAACTTTTCTTTCAAGCCTTGACTATATATATTTTATTCCAAGTACAACCTTGCTAAACTGCTTTTGCCTAGTGAATTGCTTAACTTGTAATGTGTGTGAATAATTCTTCACATGCAAGATTAAATGATTTGACTGTAGGGATAAAAATATGCCAACTGTAAGTGGGTATTTTCATAAGGAATGTGAGATACAGGATATCTAAAAATGTTTATTCAGGTTTTCAAACTTGTGTGGTTTTAAGATATTTGCAATACATACTATAAATAATAGAGAAGTTATATTGTAAATAGATATTGGTTTGTTAAAAGGTTTATTTTGATTTTTTTTAAAAAGGTTTGCATTTCCTGAAGTTTTTTAAACTGTTGGTATCTATGTTTATACATATGATTTGAAATGCTTGTTTTCATGTAAAATTCCTATACTGCACTTAAATAAAAACTGTGGTAATATTGACATTTTGGAAACCAGGTACTATAGCCTTTATTATTCTGTCATCGTGGGGAACTCTGAATCGGTCTCAAGGATCAAGAGAATTTTCAATGTTGTTAACAAACATCAGGACTGTCTTGCATTTTTAATGATATGGGGTCTCTCATAGGTAACATTTTAGATAAGCTGGTTTGTAAAACCATATTTACTCGAATTTCAGACAAGAATTTAGGACTTTTTTCCTCATTCATCATGGGGGAGAGGCCCTTGTTTTAGATTCAAGTACAAGCCAAGGGAATGAGTGGGGAGGCAAGCTGAGGTTGGAGTTGGAGCCATGGGCACTGCCCACCGCAGCCTCTGCTCCCCTCCATCTTTTCTGCCCACTACCACCTCTGCCACTCCGCCTCCCCCACTGCCCCACTTACCTTCCCATCACAGCTCCAGCTGGGACCTCACTCTGGCCAAGGGCCTAAAGGACAGTAATTGCTCTTTCCACATTTCTGGGTTTGTAAATGCACTTTTTTCCCCATTTGCCCTTTTGCTTACAAAAGATGAATCAATACATTTTAAATATACCTTACTAGAATCTTGCTTTACTTAACTGTCAGAGACTAATAGACTGTCCGTTCACAAGAAAAGAGCACACAAGTACAATGGGAAGTATACACCTATGTTGTGAAATGCAGCAAGTAGCTCAAAGATTTGACCCACGCCCTTAACCATCTTTCTTGAAGGATTAAATTTGCATATACCAATGCTACTATTAATATACCTCATTGTTACCCTCTCACTTAAATGCCTGGGGGCTTAAACCTCTCTCTGTCTTGACATCATCCATAAAAAGTGAATACTGAAGCCTAATGTTATCCAGACAGTAAAGGTGCATTTCCCCATTGGGACAGGAAAAATATACTAAAGAAATCTACTAGGGAATTAGATTCATGGAGCTGAGCCCCAGAGCATTTTCCCACTGCAAATATGAAGATGGTATATCATCTTTAGAAAATTACGGTCTTCAGAATGCTGCCTGTATTCATACCATACAGTCTGAAGATAGTGATATATACTTCTATATTTGTTTAAAGATCCTATATAGATCTTATAAAACCCCTGGGGTATATCCATTGCTGGTGTGTCAGTTACCAAATACAAAATTGTTCCATGTATTGTGGCTTGCATATTGGTTGTCCGTAAATAAAGAAATAAGTTAAGGCAATGTGCAAAAAGAAAGATTTTAATAATTTCTAAATAGGCATGATTTGATTACTGTTGAATACCAAGTATTAAAACACACCATAGTTGCTTCTGTTTTGTATATTCAGCCTAAAAATAAGAATCCTGGAACAATTCAAAACAACTTGCTATATACTTATTGTGTATATAGGTCAGTTTTCTGATAGTTGTGAAGTATTTGTCATTTACAATACTAACCATTTTTCAAGGTAAGACAAGTTTGGTTGTCAGTTCAAGAGTTAATGACACATGTTTAGGGTTTGAATGTGTGCCAGTGAAGTAAACAAGAGGTTGACATGGACATTAGTGAGTATGCTAATAGGCCTTCTTTTTAATAAGCAGCTTAGGCAGGCTTTTGTTTTGGATATTGAGTGTTATTTGTAATTAAGTCACATGTTGCAAGAGATATGTTGGTGAGTCCTGGCTTCCTTATGATATTTTCTAACATAAATTTTCTAAAAATATCAAGGCACCTTTTATTTCTTTTGAAAAAGTTGGGAAGATTGGTCTTTGTAGAGGCCCATGTTTAACATACACAAAAAATAGTTAATTCCACATGTGCAAGGTAAATCAAAGAATAATTGTATCCAGAACAGCTCAACAGCAGGTTGATTGTGAACCAGCCCCTATAGACAGCTCCTTAGTGACAAGCAAATTCAGAAATGGAACCAGACAATAGGGTGCACAATAGGTCAGCCAAGAAGACGGCTACAGATCTAGTTGCTGCTGTTTCTTGCTAAGTATGATCCAAAGTCTGACAGCTCAGTGCTGCAGATGCCAAACATACCCTGGTATAGATACAGGTGCTGGCTTTGATGCTCAAGAAAATAGGGACAATAAAAGGAAGAATGCAAAAACCATATTCAGCAATGTAATTTTATAGTTTCCTAACAGTAAACCAATGTATAGAGAGTTTTACCAGGTTTTCATGGAAGAAGACCAGGCTCTTTGAAAATTAGCATAGGATTTATATCAGAAAAATAACTTCTTTCCTGTTGCAACAAATTTACAAGGAAGCATGTGGCTTTGGAAAAAGACTAGCAGGGAGATTGGTTGGTTGAGATGGAATTCAGAAACAACCTTCAGCAAAAATGGGGGATGAAAATAAATCTCTATATTTGTGGGCACTATGGCAGTTAACACTGCCTCACTCCCCCAGTGACAAATTTTTGGACCTGTGGGGATCCTCCTGGCCAGATGACATGGCCCTGCATGCCAGATCAGTCAGTGACCAGACCCAGCACACAGCCCCAGATCCAGCATATGGGGTCAGCCCCAGACCCAGCAAGCCAAATTGAACTGGTGCATGGGGTCAGTCCATGTCTGGACCCAGTGCATGGCTCCTGACCTGGCATGTGGGTTAGACCTGGTACGAGGTTTCAGTCTTGTGTGGGGTTTGTCCATGGGCCCCATCTGGCATACAGGGCTGGCAACAGGCTTGGGAGCAGGAGTGGCTCCCTCGCTTGGGGCTAGTCAGTTACATACCTGTACTACAAGGTAAGACCTTTCTTTTTTTTTCCTTCATGCTGCCTTTCAAAAAACAAGGTGTGCTATAGGCAAGAAACTATGGTAATCGTACCTTATGGAGACCTTTCTGTTATGGGTCAGAACGTCCCTGACAAGGTTGGAAGAACCATCCAGTATCTAAGTGCTTAGGTGATATGCGTGCAGGTCCAGGTAAAGTGCTCTGCCGTTGTTCTGAAACAACAGTTATGGAAACAATGGGAGGGGAGATATGGTGTGATGTAGACAAGGAAGTCCTGAAACCATGGTTATCTGCACCAGGCAAGGGCCATCAGGATAGTTTAAGCCAGGTCTTGCCACACCTTCCTGATGACCACCAGAATCAAGTATATAAGAGAAAGGTATGCAATAAACTGCCCATATGATAGAAGAGATGGAACCTAAACTGAGGCAGGCCCTGGAACAGAAGAGCAGCCCTTCCTGTTGCATTCTTTTGCAAACAGGTCTTTCCTCAGGAATCCCTAAAAAGAGAATAGCTGAGAAAGAAGAAAGGGTGTGCAAGCTCATCCAAATGGATCCAAACACTTTGATTCCTTCCCTTTTGGTGTAAACCTAGCATGCCCTTCATTTAATTAGCATCTCTGAGAAGAGGAAGGAATTCGATGCTAATCTGGAGCAGTTGATTGAAATAATACCAATGAGGATGATGGGGGATCAGATAAGGTGGTGCTGGATAAGATCAGAGGGCAGTTTAAAGAATTTTTTAAAATAAAAGGTATTTGAAAAATCGTGGCGCTCAGGTGAGGTTCCGGAAGACTGGAAAAGAGCCAGCATGGTCCCAATCTTCAAGAAAGGAAGGAAGGAGGATCCAGGGGATTACAGGCAAGTCAGTCTGATGTCCATCCCTGGAAAGATCTTGGAGAAAATCAAGGGTTCCATCATGAAAAGGCTAACTAACGGAAAGTAACCTTCTGAATGCTAGCCAACACGGCTTTGTTACCAATAGGATTTGCCTGACCAACCTTGTCTCCTTCTATGACCAGGTGATGGATTGCCTGGACCAGGGAGACAAAACTGATGACATACATCTGGATAGCAGGAAAGCTTTTGACTTAGTCTCCCATGATGTCCTCATGTTTAAGTTGGGGAGCTGCGGCCTCGACCAACACACGGTCTGATGGCTGGGGAACTGGCTCCGGGATCAGACCCAAAGAGTACTAGTTGATGGGAGTGAATCAAAGTGGCGCAAGGTGACCGGTGGTGACCCTCAGTGCTCAGTACTTGGGCCAGTACTCTTCAACATCTTTATTAATGATCTGGATTCGGGCGTCCAATGCGGGCTGGAAACATTTGCAGATGACACTCAAATATGGGGGAAAGCAGTCACATTGGAAGACAGACCGACCTGGACACAAGTGCAAGGTGGGTGGACCAAAACCTGATGGCTTTCAACGTAGAGAAGTACAGGGTGCTCCACCTTGGAAGGAAGAACCAGCAGCATACTTATAGGCTTGGCAGTGCTACGCTCACTAGGACCATGACCAGAAGAGATTTGGGGGTCTTGATTGACCACAAGATGAATATGAGCCACTAATGCGATGCTGTAGCTGGCAAAGTAAACCAAACACTGGCATGCCTCCATCGACGCATCATGAACAAAACCTGGGATGTCATCCTCCTGCTTTACTTGGCCTTAGTGAGGCTGCAGCTGGAGTGCTGCATCCAGTTTTGGGCCCCCCCACTTCAGGAGGGATGTGGATAAGCTTGAGAGAGTCCAAAGGAGAGCCACCTGTATGATCAAAGGCCAAGAGGGCAAGCCTTACAAGGAGAGGCTGAGAGAATTGGGACTCTTTAGCTTGGAGAAGAGAAGACTCAGGGGGGACTTGGTAGCAGCCTATAAGTGCATCAGGACCTGAAAGAACAGTTGTTCACCAGGGCCCCCGCAAGGGATAACAATGAGAAAATGTACAAGAGTATCTATGGCTTCTTTCTTCCTCTTCACTGTACCAAAACTGCTCTTGCATAATCTCTACCTGCCTAAACTTTCCAAGACAGAGACCGTGTCTTGAGAGTTATCTGTACTGGGGTGGGCACAGTAGGGCCTGTGGGCTAGATCTGGGCTACCAGTTGATTGCATCTGGCCCGCCGCTGCCCCAGTGGTGCTCTGCATGGGGCCGAGCCCCACCTACTCCTGTGTGGGGCAGCCCGCCTCACCCTCCCACCCACACCCACCCTGCACTGACTGACAACACCACCCCAGCCCTGGCCAGTGCTCACAGCTTCCTGGTAAGGCCGTTTCCACTGCTACTGCAGTTGCCTGGGTAC